AGCGCACGGATCCGCACACGCCAGTGCGCCAGCCTCGCCTTCCCCCCCCCCTTTCCAGCCACACGGTGGTGGAAGCGGGGCGTGTGCAGGTGGGCCCTCCGGCTCCTCGCCAGCCGGAGCCCCCTCGCTCAGCAGCAGAGCCGCGCTGCGTTGGAAGGTCCTGCTCTGCGTGCTGCATTGGAAAGGAAAGAGGCGATGGGGGCTCCTTGGGGCTGGCCTTTTTGCCTCGGCAAACTACGGGGATCCAGTCCTTGAGAAAGACGAAGTGGGTTGGTGAGCGAGATCTGGATCGGGGACAGCTTGGGAAGCAAGGGCTCTTCTTCCTGGCTGAGGGGGCGTTGGCTTCGAGCCGCCTCTTGCTTTCCACGGAACTCTGCCGGCCCGTTGTGTAAGGCAGTGCGGGCAACTTTCTTATGTAAACCACGAGCTCCCCTCCCATTTCTTCCCATCCCCTTTTAATTACTTTTTGGAAGATAACTGGGATTGACATACATGCACCTGCTCTGTGGCCCCATCTTTCAACGCCTGAATTCGATATCCAAGGCTGACAGGAGGCATGTGGATAGGAGAGCAAGAGGCTGTTCTGATAGACAAGCGTTTGTACTGGGTGCAGATGATTTGGATGACAAAGAAAATCTTCCTGTTAACTGTATTACACTGTCTGCATAAAGTTTAAAAAGTGGATGAGTTTGAACCAAAACAAGGTAAGATGCAGGGAAGTCAGGGTCATCTCCTGGTGCTTTCTTTCACATGAACTAACCAGCCATTGGATGTGGAGGGTGTGTCAGAATTTGACTGCAGCATCAGCTAGCGGTGGCCGGGGTGATGTGGATGTTAGTCACAGCAGCCATGGTGGGAAAGAGGCATGTTAGGGCAGCCTGCTGCTGCTGCTAGGAGTTTAGCAGGAGGGAAAGGGGTGGTGGTGCGCATGGCCCTCCGTGCTTTGGCAAGGAGGTAATCAAGGCTCAGTATAGGCTGGAGGGGGTCAGTGGCAGTGGATCCATTAGAACAGTGTTTCCCAACCTTGGGTAACCTAGATGTTCTTGGACTGTAACTCCCAGAAACCTTGGCCAGCACAGCTGAGGATGAAGGATTCTGGTGATTGCAGTCCAAGAATACCTGGGTTACCCAAGATTGAGAACCACTGCATTACGGTGCACAGAGTTACGTCCCACCACAGGCTCAGATTACCCCTACCATTCAGTGTGTGTAAATACTTGGTTGCTTACTTTTCTCCCTCTCTATGTATTTGTCTACCTGTGCGTGTGTGTCTGTGTACATGTAACAGAACACCTGCTTTTGCCCCAGTTCTGCCCATTCTTGGTTGTTTGGAAGTTGAATCATGGCAATGGGACTTTCTTCTTATTAGGTTGGAACATTTCACTACTCATCCAAGTAGATTCTTCAGTCGGGGGGAGAGTTGGTAGGAGACTCCTGATATATCCTCCGCAGGCGTCCCTTTTACCAACCCTCCTCCGGTTGGAGAAGTTACTTGAATGAATAGAGAAACACTTCAGCCTAACAAGAAAGAAGTCCAGTTGCCTTGACTCAACTCCCAGATAACCCCACCTGGATGACTGAGGATCTTCACAGATATTCTTGGTTGTTGCATCTTCTGCTCGGCTGGCCACAATGGGCACAAATCCTCATGGGGGTTGGGCATCATCCTGTTTGCCCTTGTGGACCAGTTGCCAGTGGCACCAGCAGTGGGAACATAGGGCTACAATCTTTTCCTTCCACGCGGTACATTCAACCTAAAAAATGCCTCCTCCCCACTGCTATTTGCTGGGATGAACAGTAACTTCAGATTGGGGAGATTTAGATCAGAGAATCAGTGTTTAGGCATTAGTTACACTAGTAAGACAGAATATTTCAATACATCTCTTTGAAGAAGACTGCTAACTTTTTCAATACTACTCTTCGGAAACTTGCAAAGTTGATAAATGCTGTATTTACACATATATTGCTCTTTTTCTAAGTTGTGATCCCCCCCCCCCAGTTAACAGACTTATTAAAAGAGAGATTTTTTTCATCACCTGAAGCAGTTCCACATTCTATGCAACCCCCCAAAAAACCCTCTCTTTTAATAAGGCCTTGTATGCCTTAATGAAGAGTGTCATTTCCTGCTGCAGAAGCAGAGAATTCATAAACATGGGATTAGCTTTGGTAAAAAAATTCTGATAGAATGTGATTTGCAGTCTCCACAATCTCCATTTCATTCTAATTATGTTTCATGTTTCATTTTATTTTTGTATCAGATAAGAAATAAAACAATCAAATTTTTATTTAAATAATTGTAACTTGAAAAAAGAGGTCTTTTGTTATTCTGCTGTGAAAGTTTCTAGTAATGCTAGAGGTATGGGCTAATACAATCTTAGAATGGATCAGTGAACATATGATGTTTCTTTGCTCCTTTACTCAAGAAACTGAAAGCAGCTGAAAGAACAATAATTTTTAAAGGTTGGCTCTTGTTTCCTGACTGCCTACAGGTTTACATGAAGTAAATGCTATAGATTTTCAGCAAGCATATGTACTCTGAGGCTATACAGTTTGACCCTAGCTTGCTTGAGAAGAGGGCCAACTAAATGTAGTAGATTGTTCTTCCATACCACTGTCTTCAGGATTGGTTTGTTGGCTTAATTTTCATTCTCTGCTCTCCTGAGTAGATCTTGATTTAACAATGAAGAGCTATTTCACCACTATATAATAAAACAGTCTTTCTAAAAATCTATGATATAATACAGCCCGCATTTTTATGTATATGCATATGCATATATTTTTTGGTAACAGTTTCCAGGTCCTGTCTGTTTATGAGACAGACTTAAATGGCAGCAACAGCAACAACTTCTTTTTGTGAATTGGTATAGTTTTTTTTAAAAAGAGGTTCACCGGGAACTAGTTGGGGGAAATTGGTCTGCTTTTTACTGAGAGTTCAAGATATTAAGTTGCTGTTAACTGTTTGCTTATTTAGATTGTGGCTTTTAAAAGAAATCTTATACTGTAATTTTTTTTTTAAAAAAAATGAAAACAACCACATCGTAGGTTCCTGAGTAAAGACAACTTTTCTTTCCCCAGTATCAATATATGTGCATTCCTGTGTTTCAAAAGGCAGTTATACCCACAAAAGTGAGAAATTCAGACCATAGATAACATCTCCCTACTCTCACATGGACATACTGGTATGCCACTTTTGTATCTTAGTTTTCAATCCAAGTGAACAAAAGGAATGAGCTTCATTCTTTAATTCCCTAAAGAGAAAAAAATCTGCTTGCCAAGGACTAAGGCTATTAAACACAATGGAATTTCCTCTCCCCTAATATGGATCAACTGCACTGGGCTAGTAAAAATGATATAACTGTAGGTAGATCCACAGTTTGCTGTTTGGAGAAATTGACACTATTATAGCCTGAACTTCATTTCAGCTCTTCTGCACCACTAGTGATGTGCTATACAGGAAATGAGAAGGCTAGTGACATCATACTGTGATGCTTACATGGAAGTTAGGCTATAAGAAGGGTGCATAAATGTGGTAATGTTTTGAACAAGGATGCAGATGGCTGATCTGTGGTCTGAATTTCCAAGCTTTTGGCAATATAGATTCAACTATAATGTTTTGCTTCAACTCCCACCCCCCCAAGGAACTGCAACTTCTACTCTCTTTTTAGCCATAATTCCACAGTCATAGCTACCTTCAGAATAAATGCCCTTTGCAGCTTCTAAAATTTAGTAATTTTCTCTCTCCTGAAGGACTGCTATCAATAGCTTTACAGTACAAGAAAGTTTTTAAAATATTGATTGCTAGAAACTGTGGAAAGTATCTTGTTTAAAAAAATTGCAGAAGGGATAAAAAAGATCAAAAATCCGTTTTTAATAAACATGTTGGAAAATTGGAAGGAATTTAGAGAGGTATTGAGTCCACCAATATCTCCTTTATCTCAGGTAGTTGATTTAAGGAATTTTCCAGAAAATTTAAAAAACTTAAAGAATGTATTAAAAAGCAAACAGATAAGTAGATTAAAAGACTGGACAGAGAAGATAAAAGAAAAAGGGGATATAAAAAAGATATTAGGGGGAGAAGGGTATTCATGGTTAAATCTAATTCAGTTAGAAAAGTGGACAAGAGAATGGTATACTAAAGAAGGGAAAGGTAGAAAAATGACAAAATTTGAAGAAATTATAGAAAAAAGATTGAAATCAGAGGAAAAAACAGAAAGAAAAGGAACTGTAAATATATAAATTATTAAATCAAGTAGAACAGGGTACTGTAGGGTTAAAAATGCAATGGCAAAATGATTTGGATGAAGAAGTAATAGGAGAAGAATGGGATAAAATATGGGATCAGAGAATTATGAAGAACATGTCAGTAAGGATAAAAGAAAACTGCTATAAAGTAATATGGAGGTGGTATTTAACGCCGGTCAAAATGAATATGATGGATAAAACTGTGTCATCATTATGTTGGAGTTGTAAAAAAGAGAAGGGGACGTATTTACATATGTGGTGGCTATGTGAAAAAAGAAAGAAAGAATGGAAAGTAATATTTAAGGAAATAACTGAAATAATGGGATTGAATATTCCAATGTCCCCAATAACAGCCTTATTGAATTTGAGTAAAGATCAATTGGTGAATGAAAATAAGGATTTAATAATAATAATGATTACGGCTGCAAGGATAATTATGGCAAGGAATTGGAGAAATGAAAATCAATTTAACCTTGAGGAATGGTATAGAGAATTGTGGGATATGGCTATTAATGATAAACTGACATGCGATATGAAAATAAGCAGGGGCCAAATGAAAAATAATGACTTTAAAAAAATA